TTTGTCCGTTTGTTTAAACCAGCACAGTGTAGTTGAAAAGCTTCTTTAAGCTCCACCTTCTACATTGCTTACTCTGTGACCCTGGACAAAATCACCTCCCCTCACTCAGCCTCACTTTCCTTGTCTATAAAATTGAGATTGGGACTAACTTCATGTTGGAATCCGGTTCAACATAACATTTTATGGTTTTATGTTAATGTAACAATCTAAGTAAAGGAAAGTAATCTAAGTACAGGAAAAAAGAAAGTACTGATCATTATAGGATAGACATCACATACGTTAAATTACCTTGTATTCTTGGGCGCACATCCCCAGAGGGAGGGCCTATCTACCAGCCCCTCCCTCTGAGGAACATCACTCCTCCCCAAATGCCCACCTTCCTGACTCTGACACTGCTACCCTACTCTCAAGGTCAAACAGAAAAGACCACCCTGCCATATATTCTCCTCACTCACCAGAAACATTCGAATGAGAGCAAAAATGAGTTTGTGCTTTGTGAGTTCTTAGGGTGTGGTAGCCAGAGCCCTAGACTAAGAATCAGATCATCAGTCCCCACCCCCGAGTGACCTCAGACAATGCACTTCCCCTCTCTGGTCCTAGCCTTGACTAAAAAGGAGGAGTTGGGTGGGTTTTTCTTTGTAAGTCCTGCTCTCATATTCCCCTGCTCTACCTAACCCCAGCTACCAAGGCTGGGAGAAGCCAGAATCTACAGGCCAGCATTTCTCGAAGCATTCCCAGAAACAGCAGATGATCTCCAGCATCCCCAGCAGGCTGGTGCCAAAATGGGAGCACAGCCAAGTGTCTCCACTCAGCACTGGGAGCCAGAAATCAGGCAAGATGCACAGGGTCAAGTGAGGGTCACAGCCCAGGACCCTCTAGCCAGGGCACCCCATCCTGATCCAAAGGTGGATTCTGCAGCTTTTCTCACAGATGTCCTTCTACTTGTAGGATAAAACATACAAGGCCTCCAAAGGAATCAAACACATGTGCTTCGGGGACCAGACCAGGACCAGGAGGAGAGTGAAAGATTCCTTGTTTGCTAACGCATGCTTTTAGTTAAGGTATAACATGCCTACAGGAAGATGGACCTAAACATGTATGGCTCAATATATTTTCCTGAAAAGAATGCATCAGCGAAACAAGCACCCAGATCAAGAAACAGAACGATACCCACCCCCTGGGAACTTCCCTCATGCCCCCTTCCAGTGACTAGTTCCTCAAGAATAACCACTATTCTGGCTTTTAGCACCACTGATTGATTCTGCCTGTTTTGAACTTTATGCAAATGGACTTATACAGTATGGACTCATTTGGGTCTGGCTTCCTTTGCTCAACGTTATGTTTGTGAGCTTCCTCTACCAGTAGAGGTAAACATGAAAACGAGTGTCAGTCATGTTCACTTGGACTTGAATGAGGAGCTAAAATCAATACAACATCCCTGGGTCTAGCCGAGGGTGCTCACTGACAGCAGAGGAAGCCAGGTTTGTGTGTAGCTCTCCCCAAAATGTGAATGACCCAACCCTGTTCTTCCTGCAGAGTCCCTCCCAGAGGGCTCCAGAGGAGGGAGGCAGGCCCTTGGTGCCCCAAACATACTTCAAAGGCCGGAAGCTCTCGTTCATTGAATACTTACCCTGGGCCTGGCTCTGTGAGAAGCACCAGAGACTCAGCATCTCACTTAATCCCCGAAACCATGGGCTAGGTACTGTGATTATTCCTATCTTATGGGTAAGAGAACGGAGGCCCAGAGAGCTTGAGTAAGTTGTCCTAAGGTTGCACAGCTAGGAAGGGGACACAAATTCCGATCTGTGTTGACCCTTAAGGCCAAACCTCACCGCCACTCTGTTGACAGGGAGCTCACTGGCTGGGTCCGGCCCCCACCCATGACTCCAACCTCATCTAGCACTGCTTGCCCACAGCTCACGTTTCAGCAGCCGGGTCCCCAGGCTCTACCCCACCTCTGGGCCTGTGTCCATGCTGTTGCCTTTGACTGCACGTTTACCCCTCAGTTTTTAAGTGAACAGTCACCTCCTCCGAGCAGCATTCCCTGACCACTTGGTCTCAACCGTGTGCCCTATTCTCTCTCAGTGCCTCCCGCTCTCTCCTTGCACAGCCCTTAACACATGTTATAAAGAGTTATCCCGGGCGCCTGGGTGGCTCAGTTGTCTGGGCGACTGCCTTCGGTTCAGGTCACGATCCCGGAGTCCTGGGATCGAGTCCCGCATCGGGCTCCCGGCTCGGCGGGGAGCCTGCTTCTCCCTCTGACCCTCTATCCTCTCGCGCTGTTTCTCTCTCACTCGCTCTCTAATAAATGAATAATTAAAATCTTAAAAAGAATATAAATAAATAAATAAAATAAAAAAAAAAGAGTTATCCTGTTCATTCCTGTTCACGGGCTTAGTGTCTTTCTCCACCAATGGATCATAAGCTGCAAAAGGACAGGAATGTGTCTATTTGTTCACCACTGCCTTGGACGGTGGCTGGCACACAGCAGCTCCTCGATGGCGTGTTAAGTGAAGAAAAGGAGGGGAGGAGAGAAAAGCAGGGCTGTCCCTTCTGAGTCGGGGCACTCGTCTGCGGACGGCGCTAGCTCCAGCCTACTTATGGCTCACGGCCAGACCTTCCCCTCCTCCCTGAGCTTCAGTCTTCTCCGTTTGCAGATGAAGGGCCTGGAAGAATGGATCTCTAAAGGCCTTCCAGACTCTGGCCTCTAGACCACAAACCCCAGGATGCCAAGCCGTTCCAAAGGCCTCAGGGCTCTGGAGCCACTGACCCATTCTATGTCTAATTAGCGCTTTAGAGATGTAGGGGGCAGTGGTGATCCAAAGCTCCCAGCCTGCGAGGTATGGACCCTCCCACCTGCCACAGGTGAAGGACCAGCTAACAAGAGGCCTCTTCTAGCTCTAATAGCCCTGATATGCAAAGTTGGGGAGAGACAGGACTAAGAAGGAATAATAGGTGAAGTCCCCAGGAAATGGTCTCGACTTCCTTCTTCAGAGTCCCCCACCCCGACAAGGTCCCTTCCAACTCTGCCCTTGGCATGGGCATGGCTGCCCCCACTGCAGGGCCAGAGCCCCAGCAGGGCAGAAACTGTCCATGTCTTGTTCATCTTTGTGCCCAGAGCACTGAGCACAGACCCCTCCGCATACGATGTGTCTGAGGTGAGGCTCCCGAATCAGACGCCATTGGAAGGGCCTGCCAGGGTCCGCTGCTGAGCCTGCCACTTTCCCCCGGTATCACCACGTCAGAAGCACCTGGCTTCCCATTCAGAGGCAGACTCCCACTGACCACCTTCCAGCCTCTGGCCCTGTCCTCTTCCCTTATCTTTGCCAGGCCCTGGATTGCCAGTGGCAGTCGGCTCAGACAAAAGGCTGAGGACTCGTGCCCCTCCTGGGTCTCTACAGTCCTTTGCTCCCCACACCCAGCCAGCCAGTAAGCCAGGACAAGCGCTCCCTGGACTGGAAGTAACACACCCTCTTCTTGAAGTAAGGCTCCTCTGGCTCTGAAGCTCTTTCTATTTTGTCTTTAAAAATAAAAGTAAGAGGGCGCCTGGGTGGCTCAGTTGGTTAAGTGACTGCCTTTGGCTCAGGTCATGATCCTGGAGTCTGGGGATCAAGTTCCGCATCAGGCTCCCTGCTCAGCGGGGAGTCTGCTTCTCCCTCTCCTGCTCCCCGCTCTTGTGCTCTTTCTCTCTCTCTCTCTCAAATAAATAAATAAAATCTTAAAAAGAAATAAAAATAAAAGTAAGAGATGGGGCATCTGGGTGGCTCTGCTGGTTGAGCGTCCAACTCTGGATTTCAGCTCAGGTCATGATCTCAGGGTCCTGGGATCAAGCCTCGCATCAGGCTCCACACTCAGGGGGAGTCTGCCTGAGGATTCTCTCTCTCCCTCTCCCTCAGCCCCTCCCCCTGCTCACATTCTCTCTTTTTCTTCTCTCTCTCAAATAAATAAATATTTTAAAGTAATAAAATTAAAAATAAAATAAATGAATAAAAGTAAGAAAATATTAGGCCTGAACCCAAGAGCTCTACAAAGGGGAAAGGACTCCTGCTTTGCATCATGGATACAGCGAAGGCTTTAAACCCCCAAGTTTTTACTCTGCTAGGGGTGTGAGGGGGTGAGGCTGGGTGTACTGGCAAGTTCACGTGAGTATGCAAGTGCTGTACTTATCGGAAAAGGCATGACAGGCGTGCAGGTACAAACTGGACTGGCCAGACCTTGACTACGTCACTCGTTGGCTGAGCAACTTCGGGCAACTTGCTTAAACTCTTTGGACCGGTTTCCTCACATGAAAAATGAGAGTGAAATGAATTTCAATCTCAGGCACTGCAGTGAGAATCAAACTCTAGGACTGGTGTTCTGTAATAACTAAAAAAAATCTAAATATTAGCAGAGTCTAGAGATGGAAGGCAAGAGAGCTTCGGAAAATCTTTTCTTTCCACACAGTAATCACTTTCAGATCTCAGAATTTATCCCTGGCTGCATTCTGGATTTAGCCAAGCTGGAAATGCACCCAATAACTCAGATCCTAGGAACCTTCATGACAAGGCTCGTGAGGCCTGTTACTCAACGCGAATCCATTTTCAGGAGGATTACTTCACCTCCCATTCAGGCGCTGAGCTTATGAAACAAAATCCCAAGAGCCACGCAGAGTCCCAAGTGGGACTCAGAGAAGAATACCAACAAGGCCAGGTCTCAGTCCAGAGTCTGGAGAGGGTTTTGTGAGAAAAGTAACAGATGAAACAAGACTCCTTTAGACCCGCCATTACTGTCGGTCAGCCAGGCGACGGTGAAAACATAGGGCACAGAATTCTAGTCCCTTCCGCTGTGCTGGCAAGTTGTTATTTCCACAGAGACAACTATTTGCAGAGCCGCACGTGAAGATGAATTCCTCGGGATTGTTTTTAACGCTTCCCGGGAGTCCCATGACAAGCCCGTGCCTACCCGATCAAGCGAAAAGTGCCCCAGGAGAGGCGCCCCCTCCACCTCTCCCAGCCTCTTACCTGCCCAGCTCCTCTCCGATGTCATAAAAGTCCTCCACCTTCTGCTGCTTGAATGTTTCCATGTTTGGACTCCTCATTGAGGCCTGGAGCACACAGCCCTGAAACCGGAGGAAGCCCGAGATCAGGACAGCTGGGAACATTGGCGCAAGCCTAAGAGTCTGGGCCTAAAAGTAATCAGCAGCACAGGAGCTCATAATTTAACAATAATCCATGGCCCTCGTTCCTTGAGAACTACCCTGCCCAAGCCTATTCTCACCAGTGACTGACCGTGTATGGTTCTTATTTGAGTTATATCAATTCAAAGCTGTTACAGAGACAGGAAAGGAGCCCTCCTCACTTCTTCAGATCTGCTCTGAACACGTTCAGAGAAACAGCCCCATGGCCAACTTCGGCGATTTGTTCTCATGAAATTCAGGTAGGCTGAGAAAAAGAGGCAGCCGTGAGGCAGGAGAGAGAGTGCTCATCTTTGGGTCAGAAGTTCTGGGTTCGAGTCCCAATTGCCTGGGTAAGTCGTTTAAACTGCCAGACTTAGCTTGCCCATCTGCTAAAGGGGTTAATCCTGTAAAAACCACGGCAAATCACGAAATTATCCTGTAAACTGGAAGATGGAGTAGAAAGGTAGGGATTATCATGACCTCAGTTCCCTGAGGGGCTGAGCCACCCAACTGCAAGTCTGAACTGATCTGTAAACTCTCTCACTCATCACCCCAAGGGAAAGAGGGACAGGAGAGGCGTGACAAATTATAATGGGCAACAGGAGTCAGGAGCTAGAGGTTCTGTTTCCAATGTTGCCCACAGCTAGCTCTGGGACCTCACCTCTTGTCAGAGGAGCCTCAGATTCCTAATCTATAAAATGGACCTAACTGCCTACCCAGAGCACTTCAATGAGAGCCAGAGACAACCCCGAGCCACGGGGAGTATTTACCACCCCACCAGAAGAAGACTGTTTGCATCCTAACCTGGGATCTCCCTGCCCCAAGAAGCTCACCCATTCCCGGGACAGCCACATGCCACCCTGGACAGCACCACAAGGGCAGGACCCAGGGCACAGTCTGCAAATGACTGTGGATGTGTCTCTCAAGAGTCATTAGCAAAGGCCTCTCAGAGCTCATTTTGGCTAGCACTGGCAACTTTTCTCCAGCCTGCCAATCAGATACCAACCACACCCAGGGCCCCATGAGCCCCAAAAGACTGTTTTTCACCAGGCTGGGTGGAGGCACCATTACACAAGGGTGCGTTTCATCAGTGCCAAGTGGCTGAAGCTGTTCCAACTCTCAGAGAATGTATACATTTCACACTCCTTCCTCCAGTGCTGCCCCCTGCACACCATAGCTCTATAACCACGATGCCACCTGTCGCCCTCCCTTCCATGGGGCACACATCCCTGAAGTCCCCCAGGCACAGCTGGCCTGGCTCCTGGGCCTGACTCTCACGGTCACTTGCTGAACTCCTGCCTGTTGATGTCCATGGTCCATCAGGCATCCTCCCTGCTGCGTGGTCTTCACCCTGTGCTTGGCCTGAGCCCAGCAAGCATGGACTATGAAAAAGAGCAGGCTCCCAGGAGCCCCAGTTCTAGACTAGCCTGGGTGTATAGTAGCTGTCTAACCCACACAGGTTGGCACCCTCTGGGCCTCAGTCCCCTCATCTATAAACGGGACTGGTAACATCTCTATCGCATACTTCACACAGCCATGTGGGGATCCATTTGTGATAAGGGCATAAACTCCTAGGCAGATAAGAAAGGTGATTATTACTGTTAATATCTGGCTCCTTCTGGGCCACTCTTTGTGTTTCTGCTTCCCACAGCAACGGAGACAAGCATTTCAATTCCCTTCTAGGGAGAAGGTTTTGGGATCCTCCTGGAAAGTTTGGCTTGACCAAAATCTGAAGCTAGACCCCCTCACTTACCCCCCCCCCCCAGCCCCCGTAGCTCCCATCCTGGCAAATTTCCTGAGACTAGCCCAGAAGGTGGCAGGACTTCTATCTATCACCTTCTTTTGGGTCAGGTAGGTCCTGAGGGGTGGGATTACTCATTTCACACACCTAGAGGGAAGCAGAAAACTCCAAAAAATTCTGTTGACAGATACCCTGAGACTCGTCCCTAGAACACCTGACATCCTCCATTTGGCAACAGGCTAGCTCCACTTGCTAGCAGAAGCTGAGCTGGATTCGAAGCAGCTCCAAATCCCCAGCAAAATGATGAGCCCCCCCACCTTGGGCTCCAGGGGTAGCCAGAGGCTGGGGGGCAAGGGAGCCCCCTAAGGACAAGCTAGGACCACCAGTTTGGCCCCAACTCAACTTTCCAGCCTTAGTCCCCTCCCCCCACATATCCTATATTTCAGCTAAAGTAGACCTTTCCCATTCCCCCAAAACTCCCACACCTCAGCTCAAGCTAGGCCCTTTCCATGGAAAGCCCACCTGGAGAGCCTCCTAGCAAAACCATTCCCTTCCCATAAGACCTGGCTCAAATGCTACCAACTCTGTGAGGCTCCATGACTCTATTTCTCATCACAACAGATTAAAATCCCCCACCCCCTTTAAATTCCCAGAGAGGTCTCTTCATATACTTTCAGGGTTAGAGTTTTCACATTTTGGCTGATAACTGTCTCTGTCTAACCCAGAAGGAGAAAACACAGACTCTACAGTCATACAGCACTGAGCTGGAATCAGCTCTATCACCTCTGCACACACTGAGCATGGGACAACTTTCCTGAGCTTCAAATGACTTATATGGAAAATGAGTCTAGATAACGCCTACTGTTGGTGACTTTGTGGAACAGTCAGAACTCTCAAACATTGCCAGGAGAATCACACTTTAGAAATCTGTTGGGCAGTTTCTATGGCCATACCCAAGAGAAATGCATGTAGATTTTTCCAAAATAGCCCGTGTTAAAACGTTCACAGCCGCACTATTACTAATAACTACAAATTGGAAACAACCAAAGGGCCATCAATAGAATAGGTAAGTAAATTGAGTTATACCCATACAATGGAATTAGTCTACAACAACAATAAACTACCGCAATGCGCAACCACATGGATAAAACTCACAAGCATAATGTTGAATGAAAGAAGCAGGACACAAGAGACCACATACTGTGTGATTCCACTTAGGCAAAACTCATCTGTGGTGCTAAAAGTCAGAATAGTGGTCACGCCTGGGTGGGGGGTTATGTCTGGGACACAAGGGGAGTTTCTGGGTGCTGGCAATGCTGTTTCTTGCTCTGAGTAGTGGTTACATGGATATGTGATATGTACGCTTATTTTGTATGCAATCAAAATTTTACATAATAAAAAATGAGACTAAGATCTACATTATGACAAATGAGAGAAACATGTAAAATGACCTACGTAGTGTTGGGATGGTTCCAACAAATGTGAATTCCTTCCCTCCTGCCTCCTGTCTTGGAGTCCCATGAGGGCAGTGGTTGTCACGTTCTCACCTCTGTCCCCTTGTCGCGCTGGTATACAACAGGCACTCCCTAAATGTTTGTTGACTTCAATGTAGTGGCCCAGCCTCGATTCTCAAGGTCACTGCTCAGCTGCCTCATCAGGTAAAAACAACTAGTAACGACTTAAAGCCTTTTCCTAATATCTCTCCCCAAGAGGAATTTGCATTTTATCAATTTTATCAATTTAGGGACATAAAACTAAAGGGGAGAAAGTCTGAGGTGGAATTATAGTCGCCAGTTAGGACCCAGAGAAGGCCCCGAGGTACAGGTACCTTTCTGGCCCTGAAAAGATGAAACCACGTGGCAGAGGGGAGCGACACAGCTACAACTTCCGGTCAGAGGCACAGGATGTCTGCTCCAGACATTCCAAGGGTGAAGTCCACCTTAACACCCACATTTCTCTTAATAGAATCACTAGGACTCACACTCCTGCCCTCAACCCTCATGGTAGGCAACACTTCTGAGGTTTAACACAGATTTCCTAGAACCTCACAGAAAGGGACTGCAAAGGTCATCCAGGGGGTTTTTAGACTCTGCTTTAGGAGCCACCAGCATGAGGAAGGGGAGCCAAAGCATCTCCCCTTTATCTATACTAGAGGTTGGGGTTCTGTGTAAGAATTCACCGGAGGCGGGAGGAGTCTGAAAAAATCACTGCTGTCTGGTCTATAATCCACTTGTTTGACCAAAGAAGGAAATTGAAGTGCACACAGGGGATGGGACTTTAAGTCACACAGCTAGCCCACTCCAGTTCTTCTTGCCTGGGCTTCTGATGACAGCACCCTCAACCCCCCAAAGTGGCACTGGGGTTGGGGAAGCCAGTGCCCTCCAGAGGGACCACTTAGGAGGAGGCCTCCAAGGCTAGAGGATCACCCCAGTAGGGAACTCTCTACCCTACTAAATCCTCTCACTCACTGGCCCCAGCTCACTCTGCTGGACATTTGGAGATCCTCACCCCACCTCACCCAGTGTCAGTCAGTGAGATGGGACCATTGCAAGGGGGCAGCCATGATGGTCCTCTTACCCCTCCCCCCACATTAGGAATCATCACACTCAGGCTCTGAGGAGACAGCCCACAGGAGGGAAGGGGCTCCAGCATTGCAGAGCCCCTCCATGCAGTCAGGCCTTTGACCAACCCCAATCTCTGAGGAGGAAGCTCGGGCTCAGAGATCAGCCATTTGCCTAAGTTGATGTGAGAAAACCCATTTTTCTAGTGAAGGTCCAGCTCCACTGGACACCCTCACGTCTAATAAGGAGGGAAACCTTAGGGGGGTGGTCAGGGTCAGTTCAGGTCTCATTCCTGCCAGCTGGAAACTTGCTCCAGACTAGTGCACCCCCACCCCCATCCACACACCCTTGTGCCCCCACCCACCCCTGCCCAAGCCTCTCCCAAAGCAGCTGAATTATCGGTGGGGCCACTTTATGTGTTAAAAACACGTCTTAGGAGAAGAACAGGACTCTGAAAGTATTTGTGAAGAGGCCAAGGCACCAGCTCCCCTTAGTCACCAGGAGTGTCCCAGAAATACCTTACATGGAGGCAGCTGGGAAACAGTCAGAAGCCACAGCAGCAGCCCCCAGCTGCCCTCCACTGGATTCTAGAGTACAAGGTGTCAGGGGCTGTGTTCTCTCCACCTGCCCCCAGGGCCATTCCCACCCACTTCTGAGGCAACCAGCTAGGACTCCCTCTCTCTCAGGCCGCACCCCTCACCTACCACTACCTGCATGGCCCAATGCTCACCTCTCTGGGACTCATTTTCTCCTTCCTAAAGTCAGAATACTAATTTCCACCTGGCAAAGTTACAGTGAGGACTAGCCAGACCCACACATGCCATGAGATATCCACAATGCCTGGCCCAAAGTCAGGGTCAACTACTGACAACGCCCTCCTGTGCCCTTCTAACCCCAGCCAGCTGCTGACCTACTGGCTACCCCCATTCCCACCCTAGCTCTGGCCCGGGCCCCTGACGAGCGGGACCACAGCTTCATTCTGCCACAAGCAAGCTGTGTGTGGAGCAGCCTTCTGGAATCACGTCCTTGTGCAAATGGGGAGAGGAGGTGTGTGAGGTGGCTGATGCTGAGACTGGCCCCTCTCCTCCCGGAAATCTGTAGTGGTCTCCCCATCATGGGGCCCCAAGTTGATGAAAATCTGTTTCCTATCTCTTCCCCGGGTGCCAAGCCTCGGTCCGCCGTCCCCACCCCGTCCCTCGGGTCAAAGTGCCGGGCTTCGGAGCGCCACCCCACCCCCACCCCGGGGCGCAGCGGACAGGTCCAGGGCCGGCCACAGCGCCCGAGGGCAAGGCCGGCCAAACCCGGCAGGGGGGCGGCGTCAGGGACCAGGGCTCGGGGAACCCGAGAGCGCCCCGGAGCATTCTGCCCCCCGCCAGCCCCAGCCCCGCGCGCGCTGTCCCGCCCGTCGAGCCCGCATACGGGCGCTACTCACGGCGGAGGCTGCGCTGGGCGGGCACAGCGGGCGCGACGGGGTGCGCGGCGCTCGACTCTGCTCTGCTCCCGGCCGGCTGCCCGCCCGCGGAGCCGCGGAGGAGCCGAGGGGGTGGAGCGGCCGGCCCCGTCCCAGGCGCCGGCTGGAGGCGCGCCCGGCGGCCGGGGACTGGGGCTCAGGGCGCCCCCTGCTGGGAGCCCCCTCTGGACAGCCCCGAGGTGAGGGCCGAGAGCCTCCTCCCAGGTCCCCAGACACCTCCAGGAGTGGTGGCGAGCGCCAGGGGCGAGACCCTCCCGCGTCTTTAGCGGCTCTGCCGCTCACAGGCTGTGTGGCCTTGGGCAAGTCAACTAACCTCTCCAAGCCTGATCTGGAAATTGATTTAAATGAGCCGATGATAATCTGATATAGCCTGGAAAAATCGCTCAGAAAATGGTATTTCCTTGTCCCCCCATCCTTCTCCCCCCCCAAAACACACACCGTGAAAAAGGAAGTCCCACGAGGGAAGAGGCCGTTTCCTCCCTCCCAGCCAGGATGCTCCCTGACGGATTCTTCTGGGAACCTCACCACCAATGTTTCACAGCTGGGTGGGGGCTGAGATAGAGAAGGACACTCCTCTTGTCACCACCAACCCCCAGCTTGGGAGTGGCCTAATCTCCTTTGCCCTCTATGCCCCCTCCCCCCAGCCTCTGCATGGTTGTGAAGCCCCACATCACCCATCAAGCCTTCCTTAATAAAGGATTTGGCAGTGGATTCCTCCTCTCTTCCTTCTGCCAAAAATCTCAGGAGAAAAAAAAAAAAAGAATGAGAGTGGAGAGGGTGATGGGAAGAAGGAAGGGGAAACAGAATCACAGCCAAGACAGAACTTACTTGAAGACAAGAGACTGTTTAGCAAAAGGAAATGGAGGCCCTTTCCCAGAGTTTCCCATCCCTAAGTCAAGAGGTCCTAGAGGAAAAGGTATTAGATTCAGAGTTCTGCTCTTTGGTTCAAAGCCCTGCTCTGCCATTCCCCATGGATAGTCTCGGGCATGGCACCTGAACGTTTCCTCCATGAGTAAACTGGGGCTAACACCCTTCTTATAGTTTCTGATGGAGCTATTATGAAACTGAAATGAAAACATGTGTAAGGGACACCTGCGTGGCTCAGTTGGTTAAGCATCTGCCTTCAGCTCAGGTCATGATCCCAGGGTCCTGGGATCAAGTTCCACATTGGACTCCTTACTGGGGAGTCTGCTTCTCCCTCTGCCTGCCACTCCCCCTGCTTGTGCTCTCTCTCTCTTTCCCTGACAAATAAATAAATAAAATATTTTAAAAATAAATAAATAAAATCTTAAAAAAAAAGTGTTAAGATGTATCTAGAGGACCTCCACCAGTGTGAGCAATCTCCCCCACACAGACCGGGGTACTGTCTGGACAGCCAGGAGGAAGACCAAAGAGCTTCCTTGTTTATAAACTTTATCACATCCCAGGACAGCGCAGGCTCTGAGCCTCCTGTCCCAAGAGCACCATGCTACCTAGAGTAATACCCAAGACCAGAGGAGGCTTCCAAAGTCAGTGAAAGAGGACACCCACTGAGGTTTCACCAGTGTAGGGAGACCTTTTACCCTCAGACTACCCTCAAAACACGCCCCCCCCATTTCCAGTTATCTATGGCTATGTAACAAACCACCTCAGCCTTTGTGGCTTGAAACAGTGATCTTGTCAGGCTCACAAATTCGGAGGGTCAGGAATTCAGACAGTGCACAGGATGGCTTATCTCTGCTCCACAATGCCCAGGGCTTCAACTGGGAAGACCTGAGAGGTTGGGAATGATTTGTGTGGCTGGAAGATGAAATATTCTGGAGGCTTCTTCATTCACATCATAGCCTGGGCTGTGATGAATCCAAGCTGGACTCAGCTGACACTGCCAGAACACCTACATGTCGCCTCTCCATCTCTTCCCTGTGAGCTTCATGCTTAACACCTAATTTGCAACAATGGCATCCCCTTGCACAAGGCAAAACAGACATTCTTAGGTTTGATATTTGGCAAATTAGTCAAAGAACATCACAGCTGGAAGAGTCATTGTCAATCATCCCAGCCAGCCTGTCATTTTTCAGACGAGGAAACAGAGGCTCAGAAAAGAAAAAGTGACTTGCCCAAGGTCACACAGCTGGTGAGAGGCAGAGCTAGGATTAAAAACAGGCTTCCGCCAGATTCTGTTTGGTGCTCTTTGCACTGTACCTGCCAAATGCAATTGCCTAGGGAGGTACCATCTGGAAATGCATTTTTTGCTTAAGGTTGAGTGAGTGTATCAGACCCTCACCTGAGAACAGCAACAGGACACTGAGCACTGTACATGGAACCAAGGTGGCAGTGGGCAGAGAAGGAAAGGTGGCAACAAGTGCATCTATTCCAGAATGAAACCAGAGGAAGGGCCGGGTATTAAGAGCTAAGAATCAAGCGATTCTGTTCCAGCTCCTGCATGCTCCCACAGCTGGCAAAACAGTACAAATGCCTCACTCTGGCAATTAAGGCTCCAACATGCACTTCCCAGGCCTACATACATCTTCTTCCCTCTTGTGTTTGCACAGCCAGCTCTTTTGCCGGGTTGGATTATTGGCTGTTCCTGCTTCCATGTTTTGTTTAAGCCACTCCACCCACCCCCCAGTCCCATCCTACAAAAACATATCCATCCTTCAAGGGCCTTCTCAGGTATCATATCTTCCATGGATACGATCTCCCCTCCTTCTGGGCTCCCCTGAGCCCCACTGTTCTTGGTTTGTACCGAATTGGCATTCTCCTTCCCCTGTTTTAGTTATCATCAGTGTCCACTTCTCTTTGCCTTCAGGGCAAGGACAATGTCTTGTTCATCTGTGTACCCAGGCAGTGGCTGATAGCCCAAACCCAGTAAAGTTTGTTAAATTGGATTGCTAGAATGTAAATGGCACAAGATCACAACTGTCTTGTTTTCTATTGTCTCCCAAGGATACTGAAGTCCCTGGCACTTAGTAATCATATGTTGGGTGGAGAGATGGATAACTCATTTTAATAGCTGCCATGTATTGCATTCCTTCCAGCATGTGCCTTCTCAGTGCCAGGAACTTTGCTTTGGGGTGGATGCAAATGAACCCTTTTCACAGATGAGGTAGCTGAGGTTTGGGAAAGTTGACTTGCCCAAGCTACCCCAACTTGTAGGTGGCTGAGCTCTGCTGTGAATCTGGCCTGCCCATCTCCCAAGTCCAGGCTCTTTTTGCTCCCATGCCCTCCCCCAGCCCCGCCACCCCCCCGCCACACACTGTCTGCCCTCAATGGAAACTTCCAAGTATTCTAAAATGGTGTTAAAACGGGGGTTCCCAGCCCTGGTTGCACATCAGAATTGCTTGAGAGTGTTTAATGATCCCCATGCTCAGACTGCACCCCTCACCAATGACATCGCAACCTCTGAGAGTGGCATCTGGGCAATGGGGTGGCAACCTCTGGGAGTGGCGTCACTCCCAAGGGATTCCCATGGACAGGTTGAGAACCACTTTGCTCATGTCACAGAGATCTGGGGAAATGAAAGCACCCTCCATCAACCCACCAAACTGCAAATGCATCTGAGAACCTGCTTTGTGCAAGACACTCCAAGGGACCATGAGATGGGTGAGTCACAGGAGCTTGAAGCTTCCACAGGGAACAAGCCCACGGGGAAAGAGGTAACCGTGGCAGGCAGCAAAGGGCAATGAAAGTGGTGATATCCTAAAGCACACTTTGGTGCCTAGCAGGTATTCAGAGCCTAACAACCTTCAGACAAGGAGACAGGGATTAAGATGCTGCATGGGTTGGCTGGGGCAGCTGGCCCTGGGGTCGGCCTCGAGGGGGCATAGTGTGAGGACGAATGATGCCAGATGCCTGCATGCAGTTTACTTACTGTGTGATCTGGGGCAAGCTTCTTGATCTCTCTGTGCCTCATTATCCTCAATGGTCAAGTGGAGCTAAGAATAGAATTTGTCTCCTAGGTTGTTGTGAATGTTCAATTCATTATGGATCCATGCAGAGAACTTAGATCAGTGTCTGGCACATGGCAAAGTGCTCAATGAGTCTTAGCTCTTTTCATTTTTCCTTACATGTCTGCTGTGAGCTCCCCTACAGGAGGAAATGGATCTTAGGCATCTTTTCACCCCACCCACCCACAGCCTGGCCCAGAGCAGGTTCTTAGCAAGCGTCAAATGAAGTCTGGAATGCAGGTTTCTTGACAGTGGACCCAGTGCTGACTTTTTTCTTAGGCCATCAGAGCAGGCCAGGAGAGGGTGCGGGTGGTTCCTCCCTGGCTGGCTTGCCTCCTGGGTGGAAGGCAGGCAGGAAGCCTCCTCCTCCCAAGGGTGGCCTGATGGCCTGACTTCTCGGCCTTTCCCAGCCCTGCCCACACTGCCCTGTGCCCTCTGCTCTCCCACACCCAGCCAGGCAGGGCCATGGGGTGTGGAGCGGGCCTAGATGCCCTTCCTCTTTCCTCCCTCAGGAGGCCCACTGGGTCCTGCAGCCAGAGGTGGCTGCTTCAACCTCTAGCCTTACTGGAGTCAGCAAGGCCTTGACCCCACTAAGAAAGGGGCTGGAGCATGGAAAGCCTTGCCTTTTCCTGGAAGCCTGTAGGATGGGGATTTTCTGGGCATGTATGCACACCCATACACTCTGCAAACATTCGAGGACACCTCCTGGAGCTGGGTGTCGTTAGCAAGTATAGACTCAATGCCCAGAAGTGTCAGGTCTACTCCAGCAAGCATCATGAGGGGCTTGAGGGGAAGGAGATGCTTGATTCAAACTTGAAAGAAGAGGACCAGGTGAGTAGGAGGTGGCGGGGAGGGGAGCACATTAGGTGGGAGCAGCTGTGTGCACAAAGGGCTGGGTATGAAACCACCTGCCATTTACTGCCCTGACTCCCACCTGAGCCAGCACGGGGGTCACACAATCGGATCATGACTCAGGCATTGGCCATCACCTTCAGTTTGGGGCAGAGGTTGGTGTCATGGACACGGAGTTCTTAGAGAGGCCCCCCAAACTGTGCCTACCTTTAGCACTACAAATTTCACCTACCTACATTTCTAAGGAGAGGAGTCAGGTAGGCCTATTTATATAGTCCTGTTCTGCCATTTTTTGGGGAAAGTCACTTTTCCTTCTCTGAGCTTTAGTTGCCTCATCTGTAAAATGGGACTATTACACCTTTCCTTCAGGGTTGATATGAGGACCAGACAAAATATTTTAGAAATATGTGTCCCTCTCTCACAACAGTCTGTCACTTGTGCTGTATCTCTCCAACCATGTTGTTACCACGACTGTCCCTGAAATACTT